ATGTGTGTGTGTGTGTGTGTGTTTGTATGTGTGTTTGTGTTTGTATGTGAGTATGTATGTGTGCGTGTTGTATGTTTACGTGTATGTGTGTTTGTATGTAAAAATGAGAATTGATAGGAAATTATTTATCAGTGTTACACGCAAAATTAAGTTAGGCAGATTGATAGATTGCTGAGACCATCATCATCATCACCATCGTCATCATTACCATCACCATCATCACTATCATCACCATCATCACTATAAACTTTTTCATTATCAGCAGCTGCAACTGCAACAACAGAACATCATCATCATCGCCATCTTTTTTTATTTTATCTTTTACAGTTCGGTGATATTCGAAATTCAGTTTTCAATTTTGTTGGCATCATCAATCAGCACAAGTTTCATGGTTGACTGATTGATCGATTGATTGAGTGGCTGAATGAATGAATGAATGAACGAACGAACGAACGAATAAATGCATGAACGAATGAACGAATGGACGAATGAATGAATAAATCGATGATTGAATGAATGAATGAATGATTGATTGGTTGGCTAGTTAAGTAAATGAGTTAATTGAGTTAGAAAAATTAACGTGTTGTATGTATTGATTTATATATAATAATGTTTATTAACAAAGAATTATATTTTATTCTATCCTTTTTCAGATAAAAACAGAGATTAACAATTTTTTGAATTTGTAGACGATAATAAAAAACACAACATCAACTGCAGTAACAACAACAACAACAACAACAACAACGACAACGACAACAATAGCACAACAACAACAACAATCCTGATAATGATGACGACGACGACGATGACATAAACATTAAAGTTGACAAATACCTAGCCGTCAATCAAAATAATAACGACATCAATACTGCGAATGATTCTTTTAAAGTAATGCCCAACAACAACAACAACAACAAGATCAACAGCAACAACAATAATAATAATAACAATAATAATAATAATAAGTTCGCAGACGTCCGGAATGAGGTAACAGACATGGCGGAGAAATGTTGCAATGGCGGCAAAGTTAGTGATGATGATGATGGTGGTGGTGATGATGATTTTGATAGTGGTGATGATTATTTTGATTATGTTGTTGATGATGATGGTGATGATGATGTTGATGATAATGATGATTATGACGTCAACAAGTTGGCTATGTGACATCATCAGATGATGAATGACGTTTGCCAGGTATCTCATCATTCAGATGCCGATTCCGATTGCTGCATTGCAAGTGACGTCATCCTCAACAACAACAACAATAACATCAACAACAACAAAACAGAAACATCGACAATTTCAACGACATCTCATTTAGTTCCGTGGTCAGTTCTGGACAAAGAAGAATTTCAATCAATCGTAGAACTAGCCATTTCAGATATGATGTCACTTCCGGTTAAATTTTCAAGTGACGTAGTTGGTAAAAATAAAAAATTACTTAGCGCTAATTTTGTGAAAAAAGAAATTCAGAACACTGGCGAAAATAATGAAAATAACAACAGCAACAGCAGCAGCAGCAGCAGCCATTCATCTGACTTATCTATGAAGCCAGAATCAAACTCAAACTGGATCAAAATTCCATCTTCAAACTCAGATCCACTTTTAAAAGCAACTGACAATGACGTCATCAGCAAGTACAACAACAATAACGATGACAACATCAACTGCAGCACCAACAACAACCACAACAATAACAACAACAACGACAAAGTGATTGACGTAAAAAGAATAAAAAACGAAACTAAAGCCGAAAACCAAACCGAAATCAAACGGGAATTTTTTCCCCAAAAATCCAGTGCCGAAATGGCTCAAACAAATTTGGCGGATGTGAAGAGTAGAGGGTTTTTATCAATTGAAAATATTTTAAATGAAAGTTACAAGTATTCAAATTTTACAAATTTGCATGATTCCGTCTGCAAATTGTCAATCTCAAATAATAATACCCTTTCTTGGAAATCTCCAACATCATCATCATCATCATCATCCCTATCATCATCATCTTCTTCATCATCATCATCATCATCGTGCACATCACCATCATCATTATCACCATCATCTTCCATTTCGAGAACGTGGACTAATGGATCGGTGACACCATCGTCATCAGCATCATCGCCAACTTCCGGTCAAGGCAGGCCTAAAACGATGACGTCATTGAGAATGCCCCAACTACTTGTCCATACGTCATTTTCATCATCAGTTTCCTCCCCATCTCCGTCATCATTATCGCCATCGTCGCCAACTTCACCGACATCTTCATCATCATTTCATCAACCACCATGGCCACCATCATCACCATCATCAGCAGCAGCAACAGCAACAGCCACAATAGCAACCACAACGGCCAAAACATACGATCATCTTCCAATGCTACTCCCAATAACACCAGCAACATCTGAGCAAATACTCTGCAATCAAGAATTGATCAAACAACAACAGCAACATCAGCATCAACAACAAATCTTCTACATGACGTCATCGCTATTTCACACTTCCGGCTGGATAGGATTGGATAAAAAAATGCTGAAAGATTTGGTGGATAATCTATCTGAGGATTCGATAAAGCGAGATCAAAGGCGCGATACATTTCTAATGGACTACGAGAATAACTTACATTTCATTCCAAACAGCCCTGCCATGCTACAAAATTATCAAAATTTCGTTAAAAGAGAGAACTACAACGACATAACCGGGTTTTTATATCGAGAAAACCACGTCATGAAGCCCGTTTCGCAGTTTGGTTATAACGAATATAACATAAATACAAATATCTTTAGCAAAGAAACGAACGCGGCTGACAAATTAACAACAGAAAAAGAATTCATGACGCGGAAACGTAGAAGAAGTGAAGAAATGAAGAAGAAGAAAGAAAGAAATTCATCAACATCGGCGTGTGTGACGTCAACCACAATGGCGGAAAACGAGATGGACCCCAAGGCTCTCGATAATTCGAAGTCGAATGGAGCGGAAAGAAAAATAGCTAAAGAGCCGTGGGTTAGCGTCGATAAGAGTTTAGTTCTTAGTGTCGTTGAGTCGTTAGTCGGGAAGTTATATGGCGATGATGTAGGAAGAACAAATCCGCTCAATAGCGTTGAGAATAAAAATGCTAATCCCACTCGCAATCCCATCCACAATCCCAATCCTGATTCTAACCATCCCGGCAACTATAGCATTAGCTTTCTGTCCAAGTCGATAGGTGTTGATCAGCAGGGCAGCCATCCAGATGAGCGTCAGTCGCAGGAGCAGCAGTCAGCTACGGAGAAAGACAACATCGGAAAATGGAAAAATGATCTGATGAGGAGATTAAGAAACAATTCCTCCACCAAACATCATCAACATCAACATCTTCATCAGCATCAGCAGCAACAACATCATCATCAGCAACAGCAGCAGCAACAACAACAGCAACAGCAGTTTAACTGCTGGATCGCCAAATCTAATCAAAAGCAAAAAGTCATTTACAGTTAGAAAATGTACGGAGAGTTTTCTATTCAATATTTACTTGTCGTTATTCGTCACGTCCATCTAATTGTATATTTTTTTTAAACAGAATCGTTTCAGCTTTCGTCTAGTCAGAGGCGCATTTAATTGCAAATAACCTAACGTTTCAGCTAATTATTTTTGAATATAGAAAATATTTAATTATCTATTTATTCATTTACTGAATGTTTCAAACGCTCGTTTATTCGTTGAGTGTTTCATTCTTTCGTTGATTCGTTCATTCATTCCGACTAAATTTTGCTCACAAGTTATTTTGGAATAATTACGTAACACCATTCAATACAAATACAATGCAATGCCACACAACACAATACGTTGGAAATATGTATGGGTAAAAAATGAACAGACATAATCATTTAATAAATGTGTGTGTATATATGTGCGTGTATGTGTGTGTACATGTATGTACGTGTGCCTGGGTGTGTGTGTGTATCTCTATAGATTAATGACGATTTTTCAAATTTATATTTTGTTTACAATAAAGACACCTTACTAAATTGTTGGTCACACCCGACCGAAAATTAATTTTTTCATTTTCTAAAGTATTGATAATGCCATTTGTTTATACTTGTTCATTCGCATTATTCACATATGACGCCATTTTTATCGGCCACCTTTATTTTTTAATTTAAATTAATTTTATTTTCTTTAAAAAAAAGAAAGAAAAAGAATTGTATCCTATTCCTCTACGGTATTTAAAACAGTAGCATTTGGAGATGCTTGTGTTTGTATGTATGTGTGGTTGCTTGCGTGTGTGTGTGTTTGTACGTGTGTGCGCGTTATTCGAGTGAGAAATAACTTTTACTCATATAATTTTGAACAAAAAGAAAACACATATCCGCACAGTTGAGTGTTCGTCAATATTCGTACGCCTTTGAAATTAAACTTGAATATTTGAGATTACGAGAAAATTAAATTAACAAATTAGAAAACCACAATAATAATAGTAATAATAATAATAATAATCAAATAGTAAATAAAAATAATAATAATAAAAATAATAATAATTATACATATATATATGGTACTATAATATGGATAAATTATAGTAACAAGAAAATATTATCAAGAGACAGTTTTTAAAATAAATTATTATCATCATTATTATTGGGATCAGTTTCATTATCATCATCATCATCATCGCCGGCATCATCATCAACCTCGTTGTCATCACAATCATTATCATCATTCATCATCATTATCCTAGTTACTATTATCACCATCATCGCCATCATCATCATCAATATTGTCATTTGTTAAATCATTAAATTCATCATCATCATTATCATTATCATTAATGTTATTATTATTATTGTTATTATTAATATTATTATTATTGTCGTCATCGTCATCATCATCACTCTCGACTCCTTCATTTCTTCTGGAGTTTTTATTGCTTTTATTGGATTTTTTGGCAACAAATCTACTTGAAACACTTTCTTTATTATAATTATTTTTATTGTTGTTGTTATCGTCATTGTCATCGTCGCTGT